TAATTTGCATCATCAACCGCAGCGTAACATCAGTGTTCAGTACTGATGCTTGACTCCATAGAGCCATGGAAAGAATCCGGGTTTGTTCTGGACGCTTTAGGGTTTGTGACCACGCTTCAGTCTCATATGTGTTTCGAAGACAAAGCGTACTTCAAACTGGAGAGAATATTGCGTGTGGGCATTACCTGCTTGCCAATTTTTCTTGTTTTATGGTCTCTACTGATGTATCAATAGGACTTGTTAGTTACACCTAAATCGAGAAGATAAATGACCTTGAGAAAGTTTTACTGGAAACAACTGAAGCGTTCAAGTGAACCAGAAAGAACAAAAAAGCCAACAGTCCAATAGGATACTAATGAAAGGTTGAAATGTTGAAAACGATTTTCAAGTCCACGAGATAAATTTTTAGCCAGATGGACTTGTTCGTGTGGAGGCAGTCCTCCTAACACTGAAGGCTCTTATGTAGGATCCTGTGGATTTGCCAGTGTTGTTTATTATTACTGGACAGAACATATCGGTCAGTCACTGAAAATCGAATGACCCAGCGAAGTTTGCATGGAGGGTGAGACAGTTTGGTGAAGACAGTTCGGAGGTACAGCGACAAACATGCTAGAAGTTAGTGGTTTTGAGCGTAGAGCTTATATGATGTTCAGTGGATTTGGCTTTACAGACACGGGAATATCCATTTCTTCCACGAACATGAAAAGCATCTACCCTAGTGGGGCATTGAGAACGGGGATATCTTTGTGGTCGCAAAAGTAGTATGTTTGACTGGTGATTACTAACAGTAAGATAAGGGCAGTGTGGGCCCAATCTTTGAACTACTGCCCTTAAGTTAAAGTTGACGGCAGATGGGGCATGCCCACTGACAGCGTATTCCGTGTTATAACAACAAATAAGCTAGTGATGGTGCGATAAAAGGGTTGAGTGTACTGTGCATGTGTGGGAGGTTTGTCACTGCGCTTGAAGTGTGTGGTGGTCGTTCATATGTAGTTGTCTTTTTCGGGGTATCTAGTTTTCAGCGACTGGTCCGCATAAGCATTGCAAGAATGCAGAACCGTCTCTTACATGACGGCAAAAACTCAAAACTATGCATGAATGAAGGGTAAAACAGAAATGCACAGTTTGCGCCATTGGGTTCCGTCATTTCGGCATGCGTCAATAACTCTACGTTATCTTACGGACCCCATCCCAGGAGGTGATAGACGCCAAAGGATGCCAGTCGAATGGCGGGCGCCGTCAGACTCCTGTTCACTGTCATTTCCTAATCCCCAAGTTGTCTCGTCCAGTCATCTAAAAGTCTGTCTCTACTGCTCCTACTTAGGGTTAGGCAACCTGGCCGTAACTCAGCCCTCGTGCTTCCTTTGGGTGACATGGCAGCTAGGCACCGAAAGGGTGCTACAGCTGGGCAGTTTTTTAAAATTTCTATAGAATATGTTGACGTTGGCAGTCATCTTCCACATTGACTTGACACCTCACGTAATACGACATAGCGCACCTTTAATCTCACTCTCGGTGCATGTCCAACGATCACGATGATTTAAGGAAACCGAAAAGGGCTCCTCCCTATAACTGTAAAGCTAGGATGGTTGGTGTCGAAAAACAAAGGACATGCAACTGACCTCGTGGTTTTCAACGCTGATACCCACGTGCTCACCTTTACAGAGAACACAATGCATATAATTCGGTAATGTAACTCGAGAATTTCAAACACCAGAAGGAACTTGAATTAAACGTTCTTTTATCGAAAGCGAATTACTTCATTCCCCTCGGATAGTTTTGAATCAGGGTTTGACTATCTTCCGTAAATATTGATGGTTGACCAACCCAATTTTACCATTGTATGTTCGCGTTTACTGTTCGTCTGTACACCTGCAGTTCTAGAAAACGGTAAGCGTGATCAGCACGACAGATATTGCGTGTAACAGGTTTTCGGGAAGCACAATGATTGCTCCCGAGCACGTTGAAACTGTGGTACCAGTGGGGGTGAGATAGCCCAAGTGGCTAGGACGCGAATTTACTGATAGGAAGGTCTATGTTCGAATCCGACCTCTGCATCTCCACTTCCCCTGTCTAGTCTTGCGCAACCTGGCAGTATCCCAGCCCTCGTGAAACCTTCGGGTGGCATGGCAGTTAGGCACCGAAAGGGTGCTACAGCTGAACGAACAGTACCAGTGACAGCAAACTCAATTTACGCTTACATCACATCATTTGGACGGATGTATCACGTGCAGGACACGGGCCAGACGAAGGCATGCCCTGATTGGTCAGAATGCCAGCCAATCCGAGTCAAGCACCTTCGACTCGACGCTTCTCGCCCCCTCACGGACATTTTGGCACGACTTTGTGGAACACTCAGTGACTACCCTAGTAATACGCTTGTAATGATTTTCCTTTGTCTCCATAAAGGGCTGTGTAGAGCTACCGTGCCTTTTGATATATAGTAGGCGGAGCAGGAAGCCGAGGAACCGATACAGAGTTGCATTACCGTCCACCAGGTCACAACAGTGGGAGAGATGTAGTGTTGTATTAGGTATCAAGGCCCCATGTTCCACGCCAAACTGTACGCTTCTCCAGCCCCTTTTTGCTTTAGGTTACTGGTAATGCCCCTGTTTGCTATCTGGAAGTTTGAATATGAGTAATAACAATAAAAACAATCGTTCTGATGTAACACCCTTTTGACGCCTAGCTGCCATGGCACCCGGAATAAGAACGAGAGCTGAGATACTGCCAGATTTCCCAAGCCTAGACAAGAGTAGTCAAGATGCCGGGATTGGATTCGAACCTCGGACCTCCCAGTCAGTTAGTTCACTCCTCAACCGGTGGGTGTCTCGAGCTCCTGGGTCACGTTGGAGTGCGAATTCTTGTCCCTACGGGAATGTCTTCCTGCATCATGTATATGCGTCATGGGAGCGAGATGGCTCAGTGGTTAGAGCGCAAGGGTCAGAAGGTCCGTAGTTCGAACCTGACCTCTGTCTCTCGACTCTCCCTGTCTGACAGTGTCCCAGCACTGGAGCTTCTTTCGGGTGGCATGGCAGCTAAGCACCGGAACAGCTGAATGGTTTTTTATCATGTGCTGGTAAGGTCCGAAAGTTTGGAGAGGTTCATCTGCTGCAAATGTTGTGTCTATATGTATCCACATTGCCCTCGTTTGCGCGGTCTTGTCCTGATACTATTTGGTTAGTCCACATGAAAGAGTGCAGGCAGTTAACTCGAGTTCCGTTCCTGTTGGGGCTCGGCACTATTGCATATCCTTGGCCGTGTGGGGATCATCATCATCGACAGTATGACATCAGTGTTCAACACCGATGCTTCACTGCCTTACAACCATGATATGAATGTCATGGTTTTACGAGGAGTGGGATACTGCCAGGGCGCCCACACCTAGACAGGAGGACGATTAGGGTCTCCAGCCAAAACCTTTGGCTCAAAAACCTAACCGTAAGGCAGCGGTGTTTGGCGGGAAATGCAAATGCATTACCATTTCTACGGAACAATTCGCCACATGTTACAACCCCCAACCTGGAGGGCCAGGGGACTGTGTTCATCAGACCTCTAACCATTGACAAACCTTGTATGAGAGACTCTGTGAGTGTCACGGGGACACTCTCCAGTATAGCTCAATGGGTCGCTGAGGTGCGCAAACCGTTACACCACGGTAAGGTCCAGTGTCTTCGTGACGGGGATTCGGACTACAAACCGAGCGTGTCACCACCACTCCGACTCACACTGAACGCACCTGAATTATCACATCCAAACAGGCAGATCTGTGGCTAGTTTTCCTAACGCCATCGATATTGTCGTGTTCATTCAACAGATATCTTTGTGACTATCTTTTGAAAACTGTAGTTTAAGTCCTTTGTGCGAGGAGAGTAGGCCGTATCTCCTTATTCTCTCAAAGGTTAATGCGGTCTCTTGGGCAATACACATGGTCTTTTTGTAATGCCATAGGGCACACGGCAGTCCTCTGCCTTATCTAGCCAGCAGCAGTACGGTAACAGTTTAAAGTATTGCCTCTAGATTGAATTTTTGGCATCGTCAGATCAGGCGGTCGGAGGGCTTTAATAACTCGTAGTTAACTCTGGTGATACCAGTCGTCAGATAATGTTCTCGAGAAGCGGGCAATTTGAGCATCGGAAGGTTGATTCACGTTAATATCGGATATTACAGGTCCTTTGACTGTGGAATTAAATTCCTGGCCTTTTGTTGATGCTGTAGCACTTGAATGGAGAGTGGGAGGCTTACTAGGTCATTTTATAATGTAAAATGGGGTGAGATGGACCAAGTGGTTAGAGCGCGAATTTACTGACCGGAAGGTCCGTGGTTCGAACCCGACCTCTGCCACTCGACTTCCCCTGTCTAGGATTGGGCAACCTGGCAGTATCCCAGCCCTCGTGCCTCCTTCATGTGGCATGGCAGCTAGGCACCGAAAGGGTGCTACAGCTGGACGATTATAATGTAAAAGGGGAAATCATAGTCTCTAGGCGATTTCAGTGGGATGACGTAATTTTCAATTTTTAGTGATTGTTCATGATGCCATATCACAGTTCACAGGGTCTCTCACTTTTTTGGTGTTTGTATTACTGCATGTGTGAAAACTGTAAGTGAACGAGAAACCCATATTTGAAAGTTGCACACAGACTTTAACTGGCATGTGGGTGGTAGTTGGTGGACACTATAAGAACAATGTATTTCATAATCAGACCTGCGTTTTGGTAAGGTGCTTATTGGGCGACATCAATTTCTCACATTAAAGTAGTTCACTTACTCAAGATTGCTTTTTAAATTTGAGTCAGTTGCTACTCGAACGGCAAAAACTTGCTACATTCTCGTTCCCCTTTTCATCCATAATTCCTTGTCTTCTTTGCAATGTACAACCTTCCATTGGGATCCGGAATAGACAAAGTGAAATTCAGCCACAGTGGCTATAGTCGATTATCCAGCACGATCAGTCGCCTTGCTTGTACTTTATCCTGGTCTACTTTGATTTGTCCACACAGCCATCGCATTGGAACTCATCACCTCGTCAACGGTAGTACAGGATTCAAGTGTGACTAATCCTGTCAGCGATTCTTGCAAGCATTCAGATTCTGGCCATTCAGATGTTCCTCATTCACTTATTCCCACTTCAAGGCCTATTTCTCCAGTTCTCATTCGAAGCGATTCGCCATCTCTATATGTCTCTTGTTCTGTGCCTGATACGGATATAGACAAGTCTTCGTGTACACGGTCACAACCTTCAACAGTATCGCATTCTCCACTTGCATCGGCACATACACCTCTAGGTGAGACTATTCCACCTAGCGGCACTCCGTTTCCTTTCCCGTTGGTGTCTGAACCACAAAACTTCAACTCACCGTCTACAGACTCCTCAGCATCAGTTCCTTCACTCCTGGAATCAAGATTAACGGAGGGCGCTTCAGATCTGTCACCCGATCCCATCGCTTCAACCTCGTCCGCAGTAGACGTCTCATCGGTGTCTTTGTCAAACGGCCTTTATTCCACGGCATCTTTGATCGCTTCCATAGTTGGCAGGACAAACTGGTCAAGTTCCGCGGTGACGACTGTCTCCTCTGTCGTCTTATCCTCAATACCTTCTAACCCTGTACCATCATTCACCCTCCGGTAAGCCCTATTACGTTGCTTCTACGCTACTCCTAGTACTCGAGTTTCCATAGTCTTATTTTGTGCTTTCATTAGGCTTAACTAATGGGCCCTAAAATGGGCGAACCTGATAATGGGCTATTTTTTCGCCCCTGAAATTAGTGCCCTACCAGGGAAAGTGGAATGTATGTCTAGAATTGAAGCATGGTTGTACTTTGTCCAGACCAGGGGACAAACTCAGTCGGCAACTACAAATGCAAAGTAAGGTGATGTCAATGGGAGTCTTGGCGGGATCTCAACTTAATCTCTTATAGGGATTCACGCAGAATATTCTATTTGAAGAGGTTCTGTAAACCCTAGTCATCACTATTGACGCCACCTCAGTGATCAAGATAGCTCAGATTACCCCTAGTTTGAACCCACTCTCTGCATCTCGACTGGTCCTGTCTAGGTTTGGGCAATATCCCACCTCTCGTGCTTCCTTTGGATGGTATGGTAGCTGGGCATCGAGAGGGTGTTACAGGTGATCTATCATTATTATTAAATCAGTGACTAAAACTGATGCCTCGCTACTATCCAGTGCACTCATATTGAGTCTTGTACATCACGTCCAAAGAGTGAACACCCAGGGAGGATCCGAAATGTTTACACGTGGTGGCCTTTGGAGTGTGATAACTATTACGACAGCGAAGCATCACCGCTAAACACTGATGTCATGCTGTCAACGATGATGTGTCAACTGGATTTTCACTCGTTCCGCCTTTATGGCGGTATCAGTTTGGAATTTCGGTAATCGGAATCGTTACGGCTGCTTGCTACATGAAAGTGTTTTGTAGTTTGTTGGTTTGCTTCCAGGTCACCATCAGTACTCAGCGTCCGTTTTTATTGCCCGGCGTTTGAGTCACAACTACTCTTCGCTGCTGTCTCTGACACTAATGACTTGATCTTTGTTAGCTACTATTTTTTACACTTCAATTTCAGCCTCGCCTCTGGTGGTTCCATTCAAGGTCACACTGCCGTCTCCGGAGATTGTTCACTACTAGTTGACACTCCCATGTTGAGTAGCCACTTGTCTCCTACCCCGCCACGTTCGTTAACTTTCGCTTACTGCTCGACTCCCAGTCCAAGCGTGACAACGTCTAACAGTTTGCTGATGTCTTCAACTGCGACAACTGTGCCGCGCGTGTTAATCCACAAACAGACTGCCTTTGGTCATCTTGGTCAAGGGGCTCCCGGTGCCTCTGGTCTTTTGGATTCATATCCCCTCACCTTGATAACGGCACCTACCAAGTGCACCGCTATTGAGGTTGGCAGCACACAAACCTCATCAACTTCCGAACATGCTATTTTTCAACCTAGTTTAGCATCCCCAAAAGGTAAATCATATCTGGTAAACGATTGTTTTACACTTTTAACCTTTTTTTGCATTCATCGCTGTTCCACTCCCACCCACGATTTGATTGTTAGCCAACTTGTAGCTTGTAGACGGATTTTTACCATTGGAATGGAGCCCTGACGTTCCTGTTCGGAATGCTCTTGTGCCGCCCAAAGATGCCCGGTCTAGTCCAAGCTGATTCTTTTTTGTGCCACTTTGCACCTACGTTTACTAGATCTCAGTGTAACTGATCATCTTTCTCTGACTCTCTCCAGCCAAACTTGTAAATTTGGCATCTCCTGTTTCCACGAATGTGCGGCTGTTGGCAACATCCGCCGCAGCGAAGTCCCACACAATCACTACATCAGCCGCATCGGGTGGTTCTCTGACGCCCCTTCAAATGACCGCGTCTCCTGTAAAAGCATCGGTCGGTATTCCTGGTGCCGTTTGGTCAGGATTGCCCAGTCAGCCGTCATCGGTAAATCCAACAGGTATTGTCGCACTCCAATCCTCACAACCTTTGTTGGTTCAAACCTCACACGAAGTTTCCACAGCCACACAGTCTACGCTCACTTTGAATCCGGTCAATTCCTTGCGCACCTCGTCTGTTGGGCCGGCAATTAACGCTCATTTGTCCGGAACAGGTCCGGCGGTGTTGGCTTTCAGTCTGACTTCTACTGCATCTACTCCTGTTGCTACATCAGTTGCGGGGACCAATCTGTTCGCACACGCCAGCGCTATCAGGCAGCAAGTCAACGCATGTGCTCCTACTGCACCACTGATTATCCGAGTAAGTTCATGAAAAAGTTTTTGAGTTCGTTTTGAGTACATTGTCCTTGACTTACGAGTGTGCACGTAGATCCAATATCCATTCGACCCTGTGCTTTCATACCGAATGGTATGAATGGTATTGAACTCAGATCAGTCCCTTCAGAACGTATCGTTTTGCCGTCCAAGAGGACACTTGCTAAATTCTCATCCATATCAACGCTTATATTGGCGATTATTTGTCTTCGTTTCACTTCTCGGGATCCAGTTCATGGACTGCTATTTCTTCCTTCTCATAGGCAAACTGTACTTCTGTTGTTGCAATTCCTCCATCCGTGTCTTCGTCACAGTCTACAGTAACACCCATTACTCCGGCTTCCCTTTTGAAACCTATCAACTTATCGATTGCCCCGGGGAGCCAGGCATTCCCGACATCAGNCTGTTGTTGCAATTCCTCCATCCGTGTCTTCGTCACAGTCTACAGTAACACCCATTACTCCGGCTTCCCTTTTGAAACCTATCAACTTATCGATTGCCCCGGGGAGCCAGGCATTCCTGACATCAGTCTCCGGAGCTCCTGGCACAGTTACCGTCACCAGTACTCCAGTCAACATCGCCCCCGCTAAATTGGCTACACTTCAGGTGTCGGCTGCTACCACCTCAGGCTCCACTTGTCGTGCACACCCACTCTCACCCATATCCTCGCCACGCCACGCTGCAGCTTCGATTTTCTCCCAGTCCAATCGCAAACGTGCGCGTAAACAACAGCTCGCTTCGACATTTTCCGCGGCAACGACGGTTACCAATTCAGCACCGGTCACCGTTTGTGCACCGACGGTTAATGTTTCTGGTTCAACCACTGTCTCCAGCGTACCCATCACACAGCTCCCATCAACCACCAACCGTATTGGGTTCTGCAACAGTTCTGCAGTCCTAGCAGTGACGAAGCCAGCTATTCAGCCTCACGTGAGTCATCCTCCTGCATCTGTTCTCCTCTCTCCACGACCTGGAGGCATAACCGGAACCGGAGATCCTGGAGTCAAGGTTGGTTTGGTGTGTAAAAATATATTCTTCATGTAGGTTGAAGGTTGCTCTGTTTCGCTAGCTGCTCTACTTTTTAACGTCTATCCCCTCTCAGAGCTTGAGGCGAGTGGTAGGTGATTTGATCCTACGATTTGATTACCCATGTATATTGCCTATAGCAGGCAGTATATACTACTGGTGTATTGCTGGATATGATTATGGCAATGATGAACTGGTGCCTTCCCGTTGCATCACGTCTCTGCCGAAGGAGTACAGAACGACTAGACGACTTGTGTGAAAACGGGCAATTGAGCTGCTATGATTTATTCTGAAAACCGGTCTACTCGAAACACGGATGCCTGTTGCATATTTGCCATATTGCATTTTTGATATGAATCGGGAAGCAAATTGTGGTACTTTAGCTGAACATAGTTTCATGTTTCGGGTAGTACCAGTCGAAAGATCGACTTTTATTCCCCACATTACTTGTCTGTAAATTCGATTAAGGTTAATTGGTACACTCGGTTCAGTGTGATGCTCTGTAGCGGTATTTCTACCCGTCGCCGTCCCGTCTTTGTAGTCCACGGGGTCCTGGTCTAGGGACCAAACTAACGTTCCGTTGTATATTTAGTCAATCTAACATCGTAATATCCGGTAGTCAGTGCCATGATCGATCAACCCAACGTCTGTGACACTGAAAGTTATGCGCCAATACCGACTTACCATTATCCTTACGTCGAAATCCTATGTTTTACAGTCGTGATTTCTTCACAATCGTAGAGGATTATCATGGAAATCTCTGTTACGGTCAGAAAGATTAGCAGAGAGACTAAACATCATCCTCGAACTGGCGCTTCGAATTCCTCCGTCTTCGTCACCGCCTCGGTATTTCGATGACGGCTTTCTTGCATCCCTCGTGGATCATTACAATGGGTCATTTCTACCCAGTTCTTCGTCTGTCCAAAGGATTTAAGCCGCAATACCATTCCATCCCCTTTTTATTTAGGTTGGCTGCCCAATAAACCAGTCTGCACTGAGTGCTATCAATGGAGTGACGCCAGTCGTCAATACTAACTCCACTGGCTTCGTCGGTATACGATTACTTTCAGTTCGTCCGAGCTCCCTTGGTGGTAATACTCCATGTGCGCCTATCCCTGGTTCCGGCTTCCAATCCTTAACGACAACCACCCCTTTAACTGGAGGAGCCATCGCTCCGCAACTGCGATCATCGAGTGCTAACACGACAGAACCGCATCCCCTGATGATAGTCACCCCTTCTCCTACTGTTTCTTCTGCCTCACAGATCCGCATATCAACGGCTCACACTTCCTCAGTGTCAGATCTACCACAAACTGTCTACGTGCTCACTACTACTTCCTATCAGGCAGTTTCAGCAACTTCCGAACCTGTGGCCAGTTTCCCGCAACGTCCCGTTCTTGGCACTTCCGGTCCTGCTGACACTCAGGTCACTGCTACTTCAACAATCCCATCTTCAGCCTCCTTCACTACAGCCTTAATGATGCCCGGCGGGCCGACAGGTGGGCTGTTGCAAGTCCGCTTCAGACCGCCTATTTCGGCCGCATCCACACCGACCTTTTCTCCCGTCACCTTAGATCAGTCACCATCAAGTCGTCCTGCTAGTCACTCAATCCCAGCTTCTCTACACTTGATAACCGCTAGCACAACAGCCGGCTGTGTAACGTCAGACGTGATATGTAAGGTGGGTTCAGATCATAGTCGCTCTCCCAGTTGTCAATCCCAATTCTGGTTACCTGTGGTTGAGGTTTGTTTCACCAGTGTACATTGACAGGGTTTGGTTGATATGTTTTTCAATGATATCTCACCCACACTAAGGTATGTTATTTCGTTTACTTTTTAAGCCTGGAACTCCAGTTGATTCGACGGAGGTAGCGCCGTCAAAAATCTCTCCCTTTCGGACATTGGTACCGTCGTCCACTGGTAACTCTTTACTTCACCGGCATCTCCTTTCTCCTCAAAACCCCATTCATAACGATCCCGTAGTTGACCACAGTCGCGTTAACGGTGACACTGAGGATAGCGAAAACGTTTCAATATCCTGTATGACGGAGTTTATTGCGTCTGAGCGTCCACCCCCAACGACAGATTTCCGTGGCCTGACTTGCTCCAAACAACCTAAGAATCAAAATGTAGAATCCCAATCACGGGATCGAAATGTGACTTCTGCTGATCGAACCAAGATCAATACGTATAAAGCATCCGATCGCCTAGTACACGAAGTCGCAGCGGCAGAGGAAGTTATCCACTGTGAAGATAGCGATGGAGATAACAGTGAATCCACTCTGAGCCACGTTGCAGGAAAACGTGTGAAGGTAGATGAGAGTTTTCGGTCGGATAGATCTTCAGCACAAATAGATTCAAAAACGACGGTTGTTGCTGATAGCATCGATCCTGGGAGAGACGAACGCTTCCTATTGACAATTGATCCCAGTAATGGCCGTGAGTGGGTACTGACAGGTTTACCGACCAGGCCAAGTCTCATACCGAGACTCAGTTCTTCAATCCGAAATGGTTTTCCATATCGCGCGAAGTCAACACATTTCTTAAGGTAAGTGGTTTTGATGTCGATTGGTTTCTACTTAGCAGTTGTTCGAAGCAAACTTGTATCTTTGGGTCTATCTAAATGACATAGTTGCCGGAACCGGACACACTAATATTCTTCAATGGAATTTGAAGCACATAGACCGTCCAATGTTCCATTGTTGAAACACTCGATAGATTTTTGGTTTTGGACAATACAGGAAGATTACATGGAACCTTCTGACAGCCCGCGAGAAACCATCCATTCCAGCCAATGAAATGATGTGGGCCATAACGGGTGGTTACATAGTTCAACCGACTAGTTCACTGGGGTTTACCGTTTTCACACTCTTACCAGCGATCACTCTACGATCTGCAGCTTTATACCATTCCATTTAGTATCTGGCTAACTTCCGTATCACCTGAACTATGGACTATCTTCATTTGGAGCCACACTATTAATAAGCTAAAATGAAGGTACCGGGGCTTCTGACAGCTGAATTTCTTGGAACCTACGGTCGTCCGTCTGGCCGACTCTCCCTTTCGAACAGGACGGCAAAACGATTCAACAATATGAAGAGTTTAAGCATATTACAAAAGGTGAATAGGTGGATTTCTTTTGAGTGATGCCAGTTCATTTTCGTACTCTATTTTTGATCGAATTTGACTGTTGTCTTTGCTGTACTCGAACTTTCACACGATCGAATTATCATCAGAGCTAGTGTTAACCCTTTTCCCACTTCCTTTTCGTTTTGTGTCAGCTGTTCGGAAATTCGATGTAAACCGGAGTCGAAGTACAACTCTTTCTGTGGTTTCCGTTTTTCATCATCAAAATCAAATCAACTAGAGGACAATAGTTCTCCAGTTTCTGTTACGCGTCGTCGTAGACGAATAGCAGCTCGCCAGATGCCGACTGAACAGTCTGTAACTGATACGAAAGTCGAGGGAGATTCGGCACCTGCAGTCTCTCAACGCCGTCTGATGCATGATCTGACGTCTGTGTATCTGAAGCAGATGGAACTACAGTTTGTTCACTTGCCCCTGACAACATCGTCTGTTCTCAGTCTAACTGGCTGGCGCATATTCAACTGTGCAAACAACTTGGATCTTTTGGTAAGTTCTTCTCCCCCCACATTCACACCAACCACCTTCATTCAATTTTTTCCTTGGCTCTATTGCACTTTATTAAACTCTATCTGACATATCGCTCAGGTCCATTCCGAACTCCACACAATGCAGTCGGTGGAAACTTTGAGTTCTAAGTTGGAGAACATCCTTTCCTCTAGTCTCCCGGGGAGTGACGTTGGCACACTATCTCCGCTTGCTTCTTCCGCTCAGTCGAACCAATCCTCAAATCGCAATGGAGCCACAGAAAACTGGCAGCATAATTGTGATGCTGCAACTACCACCTTATCTGTTTCCTCCTCAGCAACCAAAAACCTAGACGAACAAATTTCCAAGGCCGTTTGTCAAGCTTTGGAGTTGGCCAAGGTAAGTAACGCAGTAGTAGTTTCCTATATCCGTGTTTGTCCGGTGTAGTCGTCAATCGATTGTGTGATAGTTATGGATGACTGCCGTCGGTTGTCTGATGGCAACTAGTCGCCCGCTTTCGGCAACCGATTCCGGCATGCATCATCCATTTCATTGCAATTTATCATATTTTTAAATTGCGCTTCAAATCAAACCACCATTGCGTACCCTACAAAGAGCGATTACTTTGAACACCGACCCGCGACGTGTATGGTATATTGGACACCTAACTGTGCTCATTTACGGACTCCCACATTCCCATAGTGTATGTCTTTTTTAGCTCGACTCAAGGTGCAGTAGGTCAGCGCCTTTGAATGTCCGTATTCAAGTTGTTTATGTTAATTTACATTGCGGTCAGTTCCCATGAAAAACGTCTGCCTTCGAGGGAAGCGCAAGGGCTGATATACTGTCAAGTTAAACTAGCTTTGGAAGCAGTAATAAAAAAACAGGACTGAGTTCGTACCAGGGACCTTCCAGTCAGTAGCTTCATGCCTGTTACCTCTCATTATTTATTATTTTCTGATAAGATCAGTGTCAGTCCACTTGGTACATACGGAAACTAGTTTGAGCGTGCTAGCTCGTCACCTTGCGATAGTGCTGTGACGAATAGAACAGTGATTCGCCTTTGACTAACAATTTGTTTCTCTCGTCTGGAGTCCTTTCTACGGTATAGTATCTCGGTCAGTCAGCTTCCGTGACGCTAAGATTGCTGCTGGTGTTTCCCTTCCTGCAATCCGTCTTCTATAGCTACTGCTGCCTCTGGAGCCGCGTGACACCTCACTCCAAATTTATGAGTCCATAAGCCTACTCAATCCACTGATCTAGAACCAAACTGGCGTCAAAAACACGCGTCCTTCGCTCCAATGATGATCACTCTTTATCCCGCTTTCTTTTTCCAGGGTATATCTCAGCGTAAAAAGGTATTATTGAAATCGATTCAACGAGTACAGCTACTGACCAAAAACGTGGTGGAACACTTCCGGCCAGATGCATTGCGCTTCGCTGAAACCCTGAATGAATCCCAAAGTACACGTTCCTCTTCACCCTTCCCTATCCCCACACGACCGACTGCAACCAAGTCCGCTCCAAGCCCCTCACCCAATCGGGGCGTTGGTCTTCGGCGGTCTGTCAGGAATTGCTCTCCATTAAACGTCAGGCGCGTTCGTGTTCGTGAGATTGGTGAGACCGTAGGGACGATGGTGTCGGAAATGGCGGATCCTGAAATGGCAGCCTCATCACCTGGTATCAAAGCCTGTTCATCGGCAGCATCCAACAGTTCTTCAAGGACTTCGTTATGTAATGGAACTTCAGGTGGCCAGATTGGTCGGCGGTGATGATCGACTACCACTGCTTCAAAATTTTTTTGTATATGGTACGTTTTCTTGCCTGAAACCTGAGAGCATTTCCTTCACATTTTGCGTTTTGTTTCCATGTATGCTGTGCTTAGTATGCAACGTCTTGATAGGTACTTATTCAATTGGTATAGGGTAGTTTGAGAACTTGCCTGAGCCTCATCTCCGGCTGCCTCTGATCACACGTGATCGCGTTTTGGGAAACCTATGTACACCATCCCCTCGTTCGGTAATCGCTTTAGATCGCGAGATGGCCCAAGTGGGTAGAGTGCGAATTTACTGACCGGAAAGTCCGTGGTTCGAATTCGACCTCTGCCACTCGACTTACCCTGTCTAGGCCTGGGCGACCTGGCAGTATCCCAGGCCCCGTGCTTCCTCCGGGTGGCATGCCAGCTAGACACCTTAAGGGTGTTACAGTTGAACGACTATTGTTATTATTATTATTAATAATAATCGCTTTAGAGAGCCTTGTTCAGATTCGGGTTATGTCAAGCCTACTTGAGTGGACGTGACCATGCTCGTGTAAAGTATGCTCGTAAGCTGATGTGCGCTCATGGCCACTCATGACCGATCGGAAAAAGTCATCCTATTTTCTTCTGTCGATTTCTTTTTCAGCTCTTCAAACGACTGGATTCTATACAATAAAGACGATCCACCACCTGTATTTGTGCTTTCCAAGAGTGCGATCCCTATCTAGCCACCCACATCCAACCCACAGATAATTCGTTGTGGATGTCGTTTATCATGAACCGGACCCAACTTGGTCCCAGAGACTACGTTTTTCAACACCGTCTTGTAAATGCTGCTTCCCTTCTCTATGTACATAGACAATCATCACTTCGGTTGCTGCATCGGGAGCGCACCGAAAACCTAGACAGAGCTAGTATTTTTGATCGGTGTACAGTTCTTGTTCCCGATCGTCCACACCCTATCTCGTGCCTCAGTGCATGGTCACGTATTTCTCTGATAACTTCTATCAGACTGTCTCTATGTCTTGATGTTTTTCCACACACACGCACTGTTACTTGATGTTTCTTATCCCTTTTCTTATCCTTCACCCATACCCCTGCGCTCCTCCATGCACATCCCACTTTTGTGTAAATAGGTTCTTCCCGCTTATCCTGGGCGTGCGGGAATATACAACGATGAACTAATTTTGCTTTTATTTTAAAAAAAATAAATATATGCATATTATTATAACCTCTCCGCGATTCTTTCTTGTGTGCAGCATTATCATCGAATGGATGATACTGGCGGATAGGCTACAGTGAAATTTTTGTCGTTCAACTTGCACTGTGATAGCCACAATAATTCGATAGCGTCCAGCTCGATCGTTATTCCCCGTTTTATGGTCAACAAGAGTGCTTCACTATCACACGGCCATGTAATGTTTAGTTGCCGAAGCACTAACCTGGAAAGAACAGCACAACGATAAGGAGGTAGAGGCCTAGTGTTGTTCCACACCATTCATCCCCAGACACTCAGTTGGACTGTTCAAATGAAAGCTGACAAACTTCGCTCTATTCACTTCTTTCCCCGGGGCAACTTGTGTCCAGAACGACAAGATGTGGTTAAAATTCAGTTACTCGATCGAGTTAGCTCTCTTATTGCTTGAGTCTTATTCGAGGTCAGCTTAATTCTTTGCCGCCTTGCATCAAACGGCGAATCTCTGAGGCCTAACTTTGGTGATCCCGTCTTAATTATACCGAAGTGATCAGCTAGTGAGGTCGTACATGGTTAAATCTTCTAGGTCATAACTAACTCGATAGTGCTTCTCCTCACAACAGGTGTATCCACGAGCCGGTGCTGCTCGCTCTATCACCATCAATCATCAGTAGTAGCAGTAAAACCGATGCTAATTACCTGCAACGGGACTGATTTTCGTCTGTTTTCACTGTTTCATTGGCTCTAGGATGGGTTCGACGTTCTAACGGCGGACCTCCGAAGCGTTGTGCTTCGTGATGTGAGCCCATTGAGTTGGTTTAATTGTCATTGTCCTCATTGTTGTCACAAAAGTGTTTTCCGTCAGTGAATTATTCCCGTATTCTTCTGCGCTTCTTAGTCCCGTTCAAAAAATTTTCAGAATTCAAGCAAAGAAGCGGATGGAGGTGAACTTCACCAGCTCAAGTCCACACTCTCTCAGCTGTCTTCCCAACTTGAGCTCAACCCGAATAGTTCAGATCACGAAGAGCTGCTTCAGCTTCGAGATGATTTGATACAACTGATTCAACTCAAAGAAGAACAGTTGTTAGATGATGAGAAGGCCGCTCTTTCAGCCTTAGTTCATGATCTTTTACAATCATCTGTCATTGGTGACTCGACGGGTTCCCATGTAGAGACTTGCGAGCGACCTGCGTCTGCTGGGAGTGTAACTAGTGATGAAGAAAGTCAATGGATTGGACAGCGTTGTAGTGTTCCTGGTTGGACATCGAATGGCAGGTTTATTCTTCAGAATGCTGTGGTATCTGGGTTGGTGAAAGAGGATGGGGACTCTGATCAGCCTGCAACCTATGCTCGCGTGTTTTTCGCTCATCCAACCCGCCTGAGTGATGCACCGTGTCCCCAGTTTGTCGAACATGGCACATGCCACCGTGGTGTGCGATGTCGTGCGTCACACGGGAAGCTGGTATCCATTGAGGTGAGTTTGCACCCTTACCCTCCACATCAACTGGTCGCAGTAGTCACACTCATGTACGTATCTTTGTTGTCATAACTCTCACCGGCCTACGGGCCATATCACAATCGAGGTAATATATTGTCAACTGATATGCACTCGGCCGGTTCTTTTATTCCGCTAGCGGTACCATGGACGCTTTTCAGCCCCCGAGCACTTCCCTTTCTGTCTAACCCAAGGTACACAAAGATATTTTTTTAAAAATGGGGTTCAGAGGTATATCGTTTACCATGCTAGTCTACTTTTAACCATATCCTTCTGTCAAAGAACGCTCGAAATAGACGTAATACACTACTCAAGGTTGCTGAAAACTCTCCGAACACCCACGAACTGTTTCGCCCTTATCCAAACTCACCAGGTAGACGCAGTCTAGATTCCGTCAACCCTGTGTTCTATTTGAATCCAAATTGCACGAAATTCGAACTACATACTCATCTACACACTAATTCGGCTTTGACGGGTGATTCACCCGGAACCCAACTGAATCCTTCGTTTATAATGTTCAGTGTATTACTTGTGCGCTTTTATGGCAGGTCACATTGCCCTTATCGCAGTAATTTCTATGGGTTTCGTTTTTCTCATCACAGTTGGCACTGTATTACTAAGTTTTGGATCTTATCGTGATGTGATGGGCTGTACTGGATGATTCCCATTCTCCTAGCGGGTTGGTCAGTGGATATAGGTCCCGCAAATAATCTCCTGCCTGTGTAGGTTAGGTACCGGAACTAGCGTAACAATTTGTTCCTTAAAATATGGACTAACTCCGACCACCGGCTAGGCTTTTGAGCCCAAGGCTTTGGCTGCTTTGGGTGCATTGGCAGTACGTCAGCCCACATACGACGATAAACAGAGGTACGGTGGTTGTAGTTGCCACAGTTACATTCACCGATGATTTGGGAAGGTGCGGTAGGTAGCTGCGCATTGCAGGCGGGAGCTGGTAAATTGGTGCGTAAATACAGGACTGTCAATGGACTGTTAAGTGGGTGAATTGGAAAGGGAACTATGCACTAAAGGCAATAGCTTGGATACACGAGCGCCACTGAGCGCGCGACTGGGCCATGTCTGACAATGTCTCTAACCATTGATGTGACCCGCCGTCATGAGGTGACATTTGCTGGGTCGCCATGTTCGCTGCTTAGATCAGAGCGGACAAGCTGACTGCTTCTATCTTAATTGTTATCGGTAAGCTCCCGATCCATCCCACTTGACAATCATTCCTATGTAGGCACCGTACGTACATCAATCAGGAAATAGACACACTGGACAGCACCGCGTACTCACATACGCCGCTCCACTTCATCTACTCACGCCTGGTTGTTCTGCTTCTATTGCATTCTCTAAGGAACTTCGACCAGCAAGCTGCTCTTGTGTGTATTCCAGATACCTTGTCGGTTGATGCTTGTTACATCTCTAAAACTCGACTACACGGTCCAATTACAGTTGTTGGGCTTACGGCCCCCTCTTTTTAGGGGCTACAGACCATAAACCTCAAGTGATTCTGAAGCTTTTCCAACGGGTCTAGTCGACATTTGTATAACCTCCAGTTCGTGAACCGAGGCTGGACTGGATACCGGTAAACAGACGAGTCTGAGCTGTTCGGTTTTCACATCGAAAAAAACTCGCAGTGTTCGTATCTTTCAGCTGTAGCACCCTTTCGGTGCCTAACTGCCATGCCACCAGAGGAAGCACGACGGCTGGGATACTGCCAGGTTGCCCAAGATTAGACAGGGGAAGCCGAGAGGCAGAGATCAGGTTCGAACCACTGACCTTCCGAACAGTAAATTCGCGCTCTAACCGCAGCCATCTCGCCCCCAGTGTTCGTATACATTTAGAACAACGAACTATACCTCTGCTCCGTTGAAAGTTGCCTATCGAGTGCGGACCGTGCTCTTGCCGACCACGAAAAGCTCGAATAAAGTCATACTAACGGGAGATTCCATTACACAGTTAGGATGCCTTCGTTCGTCAGAAGCATGCCTTGGTGATTTGTCTTGTCTGCACGCAAAACGCAGCGATAAAGGTGAACATCTTTTGAGCAGCCGACGGGTTTGATCGCAAGCCTCGGAGTCAACTGGACTATATCGCCATCAGCTACCGATGGAATGTTCGATCCTTGATTGCCGATCACTCTGGAATACACTGGTTGAATCAGGTCGCGCTGTTCTTCGGTGCAGATTTTCATTAGAATTTTCTGACAAAGCTCGAGAACGAGCCCCCTATTTTGCAGCAGAAAAGCTTTGTGAGTCACACTTGAGGAACATACCGAAGCCCACTATGTAAGTTAGGGCGATGTGGTCCAAACGGTTAGAGCGCAAGTTTACTGACCTGAAGATCCGTGGTTTGAACCCGACCTCTGCCTCTCGACTTCCCCTGTCTAGGCTTGGGCAACCTGGCAGTGTCTCAGCCCTCGTGCCTCCTTCGTGTGGCATGGCAGTTAGGCACCCAAAGGGTGCTACAGCTGAACGATTATTTTGTTAAGTTACTACAAGCGGCCTCTTCGATGGACATTGGCCGAATCTGGGATGAGATAATCATGTTTATACATGGCGTCGGGAACTCTTAGAGTTTCCGAGTGTGTACACGGAAGCCATTGAACTTCAGGACGATTATTATCACTTATCGATGCGAGGCGATCTGTCCCTTTTTGTTCGCAGCACAATTCGCCGAAACCATCCAATAGACCACAGCTCGAACGTCGCCTGTATGTGGACATGCTTGAGGTTGCCAGTTCGACTTCAGTAAGCCGAGTGGTGTCGTCGGAGAGGTTCGAAACTGGGGTAGTGGAGAAAAAGAGAAAATTATGAGGTCCGCAGAGGATGCACGACGTGCGGAAAAAATGTGGGTAGGTTTGTTAGTGATCATAATGATGGTAATGATCAACAATTCTAGCGAAACCAGCGCTAATCGTTTGTTTGCAGTCGTTTGGAATCGCAAGAACGACAAAATACTGGAGCGATAAGATATGAACTGACGGACTGTAGCGTCAGCGGGCATTTGAATGTTGGAATCAACCACAGCAACTGTTGTTCATTTGTAGGAAAAATAGGGCGGAAGGAAGAACAAAGCCGTGGTACTGCTATTGGTAGAGCGCAACAAATTATTCCACCGCTCATGGAGCTTCCAATCCAACTGATCACACTCGGGTGGAATCAGCCCGCCATATCCGCTCACGAGCTTTGAGGGTCATCACTTCCATTTCACCGAACTTATCCAAAGCGGAAAACGGCAAGCGACACGCCCCAGGAGACTTCTCGCTAGGCGTTTTCATTGAAACTGTACTAGTGATAACTTGTCAGGTTCTTCTATGAATCACCAGCAATCGTTTAGCCCGGAAGGATTTTGAGAAACCTTGGAGGAGTGGTGATAACGAAGGATTGTAATAATTGGTCAGGCTGCAGAAGGGACGCGTCCGCTACTGTTTCGTCATCCTTGTGACGGCTAATACATCGATATCTACGACAAATTTCCCATGGTTCCCAAGGTCAACGTTTTTTCCCAGAAGTAGAGAAAACAAGCGAACACATGGCAACGACATCGATTGGTAAACTGATAGATTCCTATGTATGATTCTATCAGGTGCACTTCCAAATGGTTAGACAAACCGTCAAATCGGATAAAACTTTCCATATATCGATCAAGTGCATCTGATCTGCATCGTTTCCTGTATTGGTCTGCCGCCCAACCCAGATGTTTGGAGTGACGGACCACAGCACTCATATAAGTTGGGCGGTGTTGCTTTTCTCGACAGCCCGAGAGGAACATCAGATCGGCGGTACTGAAGTATTCCAGGTATTTTCGGAGGAGGGGGAGTCGCTCTAGATGAGCCAGTCACATTGCTCAGGCTTTGTTTATTTCTTACGCCAGAATCGTCTGCATTACAAAGTTCTTTCCGCCCGGGCCCTGTGGATGGTGGAAGTAGCCACACATCAGTTCATCCATACCATGTAATTAAGGTGCAGTTATTTTAGCTTGTCAATTCATTATGCGTGGCTACCTCTGCTTCCCCATATGGTAGCCCCCCGTCTGGTTGCAGCAATTGCTAGCTAGATACACTGCCGAACGGCCTAATCAGACTTATTAGAATGGATCTGCAGGGGGATTTAATGGCCAAGTTTTTCGAGACCGTCTTCTTTCTCCCCATCGTCGGCGAACGAAAGTGCCGGATGCAGCCAAAGTCCCATAAATAAATAACTGAAGAAGTAATTCCACTGCAATCACCATTCCTTACCTGCAGTCTTCTGAGCCTATTGGCCTGCTCGGGACCTGTTGGCTTCCCCACCCAAAGCTGTTGCCTCGCTGATTAGAATGGATCTGCAGGGGGATTTAATGGCCAAGTTTTTCGAGACCGTCTTCTTTCTCCCCATCGTCGGCGAACGAAAGTGCCGGATGCAGCCAAAGTCCCATAAATAAATAACTGAAGAAGTAATTCCACTGCAATCACCATTCCTTACCTGCAGTCTTCTGAGCCTATTGGCCTGCTCGGGACCTGTTGGCTTCCCGACCTAAAGCTGTCACCTTGTCGTGCTGCAATGATCCTGCGGGCTATACTAGCTGGAACTCAGTTCCTTAAGGCTCAACCATACTAGGAAGTCCAACGGGGAGCAGACTGACGAAGAAAAGCGAGTCCCCTTACAGCGGGTAATTGTAACACGAAACCATCTGGTGGTGAAGTCGTAGTGTCCTCTCCGATAGGAGTGTGAAGGTGTTTCCCCCAGACGACCAGCATGTCCATGTTTGTGGAAGCAGAGATGCCTTCCTCCCAGGAAGGACGAGTTAGAAAAAGTCGGCACTAAAAATTGCGCACTCCGATCCCCCAACGGTTGACCGTGAGCGCCAGTGCATTATTCAATACGGTTGAACTACGTTTAAAGTTGAAGAGTCTGTTGCTGCTCAAAAGGCACCCGTTTTAGGCAGCTGCATTAGGAGGGAGACAGTAATGTCTTATTCTCTACGCCGGGAAGGGTACCTCAAGAAAACCCTAACAACTGCTATCTTGCGATCAAGACCCTCTAATCAGAAGCTAGGGGCAGGGTCTTCGAACAAAACCCTACATCCTCCCACTGCCTTGTGGGTCAGTTTTAGGTCAGAGGGATACCTCAACTAAACCCTCTTTCTCGGCCCGGGCAACATGGAAGTATCTTCGCTCACCGGCTTTCTCCCACACATCCTCCCCATCCATCGAACAATGCAGTGCAATTAACTCATCAGCCACTCCCCTAGCCACTATTGCGTGTCTAAATGCCCGGAGGTCAGCTGCCCCTAATAACCGAACAGCACGTCGATTCGACGGATGTTTCACGCACGGGTTACGGACCAAGCGAAGACATGACCTGTTGGTCAGAAATGCCAGCCAATCTTGAATAAGCATCTTTAGTTGGACGCTTCTCGCCCCCCCCCCTCACTGAGTGATTCACGACCTTGTGGTTTTTCGAGGGCCCATGGGGTGTAGAAGGCTTTCGCTACCGGTAACTGCCACGCCTAGTTTTAACTGATCCGTTCATTCGGTCAAAACAACGGAGCGGCAATTCACTCCCTCAATCGTCGTCTTATTCGGTGAACTGAGCACTTCCAGGAACAATTTGGCTGGTCTCCACAACCGCTAGGAGAACCCAGCGGGCCTAAATGGAACGTCGACACCAACCCGCCATCAGCAACCGAAATCTAGCATGAGATACCAATCCGGGAGAGACCTGGCCCGGATGGTCTGCGCCTTGCGCTCTTCAAAAAAGTTACGAGGTCCTGGTGGAGGTTCGACAATCATACTGCGGAAGATTCGGTACGAATCTTCAGCTCCAGCTGAATGGAGCTCCTCGATAGTCATCCCAGTCTTCAAAAAAGAGCATGAGAACGTCATGTGAAAACCATTGTGGTATCAACCTATTATCCACCGCATCTCTGGCAAGTTGATCGATTGTCGGGAGAGACAGATTCGTGAGAATCAAGCTGCGTTTCGCCGCGGCTGAGGACGCATTGATCCTATCTTTACCTTGAGGCAAATTCTTGAACAACGCTACTCCTTCAAAAGTCCCACGACGATTTTCTTGATATGAAACCCGCTTCCAAATTTGTATGCCTAATAACGTCATTGTACGCAAAATCCTGTGAGCGCGTCTGAGTACACAAGTTTTCACCTGAGTCCAACACATCCACCGGTGAAAGATAAGGCTGCCCTCTCTCATGTCCTCTTCAAGTTTGTTATTGGTGTGATGCCTACCTCAGAAAATCGAGAGTCGAACTGCTCCTGGGATGTTTGCTCATAGATGTTCAGTATGCAGACGATATTGCTCTCCTTGGTTCAGGTCTTTCAAAAAATGCAAACCATTTTGGATAACTTGAATAACTCCGCCGCACAGTTTGGCATGCGTTTCACACTACAAAGTGTGAGATGCTGCTACAAGACTGGGTGGGAACTAACCCAAACCTCATGCTTGCAGACGAACCAATTGACGTGATTTGTAAATTTTTTTATCCGGGCAATCCTATGGGTTCCCGTGGACTGGCTTGAAATGAGATTACTTCTCAACTCGGGAAGGCCAGGGAAGCTTCCGACCTCCGACACCTGTAGCGCCGACGTGACGTCAGTTTATCTGTCATGGGAAGAGTTTACACAGTGGCATTGCGATCCATACTGTTTTATGGATCAAAGACGTGGCCTCTGTGCGCAGAGGACGTACTGAGGATGTCAGTGGTTAACCATCGGTGCCCCCGAAACATTGGTTCTGATAGGAACATCGGATTAGTAATGCTAAGGTACGCTAGTTAGTCCTAGGTAAAAGGAACTCTTCCGCCGTGGGTGAATTACTCACGCTTCATAGGTTACACTGGTTAGGACGTGTACTTTGCATGCCAGAAGGCCGTTTGCCTTACAGAGTTTATTTTTGACTACCCTGTGCTGAGTGGAAGCACCGAGAGCTGGACAGTGTATGACCTGTCAACGAAGTATGAAAACACTAACCAGTACACTCAGTTGGGTCGACAACTGCCACTTCCCTGAATGGAAACCCTGGGACTCAACCCACCAATGCTTAGTGACACTGGCAGAGGTGATCCGATCGCGCAATTGGTGGTGCTCGTGCATCAAAGCTATCGCCTTCACCCCATAGCCACCCACTTGCGGAACTAACCAAACATGCCACAGCCTCCATGGCTTGGCCGTATCTCCCGCACTCTCCCACTTTCCGGTGATCGAAACTATAGCAGCTGGAACCAGTCTGCCTATGGCATACGGTTTATAGCGGATAAATTGAAAATTGACTGATTGACCTGTTGGCTTTAGTTGGAACTAGCTTGACCTCCCACCTGCAGTCACAACTATGTGGTGTGTCTTGTGTGACAGCAGTTCGCGTCCTGGTTACCATGACAACGGCCCGCCTGATTGTGGCTGCAACGTAGTCTAGTGTCTGTGATGTTCCAGCGCTCACGGTCCTCAGGTTAGTCTAGAACTGTGTTTCTATTGAACATGTTACTAGGATTTCTTAGTGGCCTCCCAAATGAAACCCAATCGCGGTATATGATGGACCTAACAACGAAGGATCTGGAGGCCGTCACTTCAGTTGGTCATAGGTGGGTACTTATACGCAGCGTTTATTCGTCGTCTGTCCGGTGCCGCCTAGCGTGAGCTCCCAGGAAGGCTTCCTTGCAGTGCCGTTCTATGACTGTTGAAAGTAGGTTGTTGGCCTAGCCATCAGACAAGCAAATGGTTTTTAGCCATGTTAAACCGTTGCTTGAACAGATTCGTCGTTGAACGGATTCGCCCTAATGCTGTCAGAATGTGACAACATGAAGGCTTGTAACCGGTTTTTCATTATATATCATTTGCAATACATGAGACTACGGGTGGTTACAAGTGTTTTAAACGGTACAGTCCGGCTCAGTGGGTCTGTGCTAATACAATGTGAATATGCGAAGCCTGAAGCCAGGGTACGTTTGCCGTTATCGCAACGTCACATACATCTCGGGTAAAGCGTAGAAGAACCTTACCGAGGAAAAGACGAATCCATCTGGGATCATCATCTAAATTTGACTTGTGCGATACTTAGGACATTGTTGATCAGGGAAAACGTTGGAGTTAGGTGAAGCCCAAAGAGACAGTCAAACGGCGAAATGTCGCATGCGTGGTAGCTTCCGACTTCTCCATTTGTCGGCCTTATCTTTTTTCTATTTTTTGCTGGTAATTATAGCTGGGGTTTATGCTTGCATTCCACTTTCAAGGAACTCGGTCCATGGCACGAACCGGATGTTACAAAATTCTCTCGTGAAGGCCAACTTTGCCTGGTAAAAAACAACTGCAATCCGTATGGTCTGTGGCGTCACGCACGTCTTCTCCATGCAGACCTCGATTCTCAATCTTGCGTTGTTGAATGGGGCCACGCGTTCGCACAAGGTTTTCAAAGTTCGGCTAAGCGAAAAAGCTACACTGAACTCGAGCAGTCAGTGGCCAATGTGTCCTTGGACGCAGTTCACCTTCTCAGTGAAGACGAGCACAGTGATCAAGATGATGTGGCTGAACACGAGGATGTCAGCTCGAGTTCAAGCGATTCCGATACATCTGATGGGAATGAACCGGCGAATCGGCTTTGCAATACCCAATCGATTTCGACCCCGGCTGACAAAACTCACAGAGTAAGTTCTGTTCTCCCTCCTAAAGAGTGTAAAAATTGGTTCCATCAATTCGTCCTCCAATTTTAATAGACGCTTATGGTATGTTTTGGTCGGCTAGTCGTGTACTCAGTTTCCTGAGGAACCGATGTGCTTTGGCTTTTTTCCTCTTGTGACATGAATCACGTCCTAATCCCCGTGCTCTTCGTTGACAGAAATTTTGGTTATCTATGGCGTTCTGAATAGTTTTTCAACATACGTTCGAAACAGCTATAGTAGCCTGAATGGCTTCTGAATGAGGAAGCTCTTCTACAATATCTGCATTCTGGGCAGCCCACAAGCGCTTCTTCGTCGGATGCGGTAATTTCATTCTGCTAATAAAGTCGAGACCCTGAGTACTAGACTGATCGGCTGACTGGGCTGCAGTGGAGTTTATTTGATTCACTTATATACACCCCTCGCCCAACTGTCGCAGAAAAAAGCCTATTTGTTGTTTCCGCCCTCATTAACGCTTACCATGTCTAAACTGATGTCAGCATCGGTTGCAGCAAGCAAAACATTCACTCAAATCCGTGAATGAACATGACTGTCTTATAAATTAGACCGTATCACCTCCATACTCTTGTTACATCATCATCCTCTCTACCCTCCAAGCCCAGGAAATTGTTGCGGTTTCCAGTAGTATGGTGACCTGGTCCAGCTTGAGCGCGTGTCTGAATCCCCGACTGATGAAGTTCTCCAACTAACTTGCACTGGTCCATCGATCTCTCATAGCTTCGTTCACCTCAGCGTGAACAACAATGCAGGTAGCACTGGTGATTCGGACGTGACGGCACAGGGTGTGAATGGTTTGTCTTAGACTACTACTACTACTACTTTCAAACTTAATCAAAATAGTTGTGTTGTGTACTGCAAACAGTGGTGTAACCTCTGTCGGTCCTTGGCTTTCTGTTTCGCCCATCAAGAGGCACGATGTCTTGAGACAGCCCTTTATGGAGATAGAGGCAGTTTATTACAACTGTATTTATAAGGTTATCACCGAATGTCCCACAAGGTCACGCTAGAAACTTCGCGGAGAAGCGCCGAGTTATGAATGCTCGATCCTGACTGGCTGACCATTCAAGACATGTCTTCGTTTGGTTCGTAGCCCACATGTGAGAAATCCGTCCATCCGACGTGATCTCCGGTTATCAAGAGCGGCTGGCCTCCAGACAGTTTTGTTTTCCTCTCACTTTGATGCTTTTGACAGTGGTTGGAATGCGATGGGGACTTCGGTTATTAGTGGAGTAAAGTTTGGAACCGATCGAGATATCGTTCCAAAAGACCTGATCAACACTGACTTTATTGTGAGGGAACGTTTCTTTTTTGACACAAAGTATTCCTCAGGACAAGTGGGTGAATAACTAGATTGACTGAGAAACAGTAAGATTTTGACGAACGCATGATGCCAATGTTATGTACTCCTTGTCTTGTTTTCTCAGCCTGAAAAAAAATAAAACGAAGCTTTCATAAAGACTCTCCAGCAGGCAACTCGCAGAGACAGGGTAGAAGGTCCCACTCGAAGCACTCAACGTCACTTTCAAGAACGCAGCCTATTACCATTGATGAGATCTCTTAGACCTGACAAAACGCTCAACAGCTTGAGTAAGCCGGCGCTCCACCATTATATAAAACAAGATATTGAATCATCGGTTTATGGTTCGTGTATGTGACCCATTCCTTCCTTCCACCAACTGGAGTTGCGGGTTCACAGGCAGTCAGCTCAGTCATGTTAGACAAATTGTATGGACTCATGAGGTAAAAATATCACGGTAGATTATCATTCGGGTATAGCCGCAGTAGAACAGTGAAATGGCCAAACGCACGTTGCGATGGGCTAAAGTGCAGAACTGTACTCAACTTCAATGAGAGTCAATCCGTTGCAAGACAAAGCTATTGCACTGATATAGGTGTCGGCTAAGGCACCTTGCAAGAACGCACTCAGGATGAAATTTAGTGTTCAAAATGCGGTTCGGAACAATACCGAACAAACACTAGTGTCGCACACTAATGCCCGTTACTGGTTTGATTGTTGCTGGCATGCGCTGTTGTCTCCGATTGGTGTTGAGTCACTCGTCTGGGAACGGTGATCGACGCTCTATAATCAGTTCAAAAAGGCTGTATTCCAATAGACTGATCACGACTGAGACTAGGGAGCGTATCGTTCCTTCAGAGTGTCTTTCACACAGTGGAGCCTGAAAAGTAAATTAGAGACGAAACTTTGATTATGCTCCGAGGACTGGGTTATTAGAATCAGATGGATCGAGTTTTTTCTGTCCACTGTTTCGCTTATCCTCCCCCTTTCAGAAAAGCCAAGTACATTGTTCCTGGGTGATTTTCGAGCTTCAGAGCAATATGCAAACTGGCCCCAGCACATCAGATGATCAGTCACCGCGAGACTTAATCATGCCATTATATCTTGCCTTGACTTTCCCACGACGCTTAACTACCTCATGTTTTAATTCTCCCCTCTATCGCTTGTACCTTCAGACCGATGCACTCAACTTACGTTCGAAGGTCACATTTGTCGCGGGTGGGATACTTGCCCCGGAAGATATACTCAAAGCAATCCCATTTGGCGATCCCATCTCAGACGGCAGTATTCCCACCACCGATTCCGATGTACCAGACGACCTAGGGGCATGGGAAGCTCACACACGTGGAATCGGATCTCGACTGCTAGCGAAGCTAGGTTATGATGGGACAAGTGGACTGGGCAGTTGCGGTCAAGGTCGAACATTACCCGTGGCACTCATTCTGGAAAAGTTCCAAATCCGTCCAAGAAAGTGGAACAAACGGCCAACATTGGACTTGTTGGTGAGACCCGAAATTGAATCCAAACGGCCTAGGCGTCAGAAGCGGAATTTAGCCACTGTAGAATCATCTGGGCACGACAGTTCATTACCCTCAGTGGAAGCGGGTGTGTTTAATCTGCTCAACACTGCTTTGAACCGATGCGACGACGATGATGTGGTCGGGAGTAAACCACAAGCACAACACAGGCAGTCACATGCTGCCCAGTCTGGTTCGCGCCTTACCGAGCTATCCGAATCTGCTTCTCGTATCGAGACGTTCAAAGTCCAAGAAGAGATTGATCGGACGCTGCGCAAGATGAGAGACGTCCAACAGTCTATTGAGCGCAATCAAAACAAAGATCGTGTAATGGCAAAACAGGCAGAGCAACGTCTGAACAATTTACAGGTCCATTTGGCTAAACTTCGTCACTCCGAACGCGTTCTACAAAACTCTAGACAGAAAGTAGCGAAGACGAAGAAATTGCGGATTTTTTAAAGTTTCTCTTGCGCTTTTTCTTTTTTGGATGTACAGTTCCAACCTGTAAATACGACGTGCTTCCTTCCGTTTTCTTTTTTGGTTGTTTGGTTTACGCATAGGGTGGACTTTTACAGGAATTTTCCAGGTTCATGACGCATTCGCATATTTTTCAGATTTCCATACGCTTTTCCGTGAGTAATGTTAGATTTAGCTGGCTACTACAGTCTAACAGAGATCAAGCTAGGTGGTTGTTCACAAGAATCCGGTAAACCACATGATCTGTATACAGTCCCCGCTAAACAACTTCCCAGCTGTTGCAGTTGTTGGTATGGGTCAGTGTCGGTGCGATTCCGCTTCGATCATTTGGCCTGGCCCTAGCAGTCTTTCTTTCACCCAATCGGAGAGGGTAGTTTGGCGACCAATGGGCACTGTGCCGTGTTTTGATTGGACGATTGTCTTGTTTTTGTGACTATGTTGCAGACAGCTAAGTAGTTTCAGGCACTGACACACACAACCGTCGGACAGGCCAGCCTCGGAATGTGTTCCTTTGTTAAATTTCGTGAAGAAACGCCGGTATCTGGTCCGCCCGGATTTTCTGCGGGTTGGATGTATCAAGATCATAGTGTTTTTTATCCTGAAAGAGTATAATGAACGGGAAAGTTAGCTTGGTACGAAATAGAAGGAAAAAGAGGCGTTCTCCTTAACATCAGTTGATGAATGACTGCATGTCCAACGCCAAGGCGACATGTGTCACACAACAACAAGTGCCTATGGAAAATTACGATGTACCCGTGGAATAGTTTCTTTCAGAACCAGTGTCTTGACCAATTGATAATTTCTTTTTAAGAGACTCCAAGAACGAAGGGGAGGTCATTCTGGATCCAGGGATTTCTGATTCCTCAAGAACGACTTCTGAAGGAAGCGACCTATGACGCCCAAGTTTGCTACGTGATTGTGATATGGTGGGGCTGTCACAACCACTGCAAATGAGTTTTCCCTCTATTACAGAGATCTTTGACATCGATTGGTCGCCATTTTTACGGCCAAGCTCGAAGGAAGGGGGGGTTACAGAGACCCTGTCCTGGGAGGCGGATCGCACCACGTTACCCAAACTCTCCGTAATCTCTTTCACAACCTTGTCCCAAGTCACACTGTCCACCTCGCGGTTTGCGTCATTCTGGAGGGGGCACGGAAAGTAACACTCGTCTCATAGTACGTTTCGGCGAGCCACCGCAGTTGATGGCGCTTTACTTTTTCCGTGACCGGCGTACATGCCAAATGCTCGTTCTCTAATCACCGTCAAAAAATCGTTGACGCCATCCGACACCAGCGACGCTTCTAACACCTCGGTGGTAAAAACCCTCAAGAGGTTTCTCCCTACTCTCTCCCAATTGCCATGTTTCGCAGTCGTACAACAATACAGCCCTTACTGTAGCCTTGTAAACGCGACCCTTGAGACCTAATAGTATGTCGTTTTGACGCCACAGATGACAAATTAGCAATCATGATTCTGGTTTTTTTTTAGATTCGCTCACCACCGCCAGACACTTCCGCCGAAGCCAATACAACTACCGACATACGTAAAATTCTCCACAACGTCCAGTGCTTATACTTCAATTGCAAGGGGCATGTTCAGAGACTTTGAAGTTGCAATGCGCATATCGAAAGGTTGTATAATGGTGATCGGTTTACTCAACAAGGATCAACCTTCATCTGCGTAATCTAGGTCGAGCGTCGGGGTTTTGAAGGCCTTCCAGTGTTCGCCTTACTAGTGCAACGACAACGAATTTGAACGGGTGAACATCCCTTCCGGACATCACTTTTTGGAGGAGCGCTTTTAAGGCGCTCACTGTGCACTTTCACACGCTCAGAATTATGTCCAAAAACTTATAGGATGTGCATGGGAGTACTGATCGATCTCCTAAATCGAACGAATCTGCGTAGTCAAGGTATACCAAGATTGTGGGTAGTCTGTGCATACGTTGTTGCTATAAACCGTAGGAAGTTTGAAGATGTGGTCGATGCGGCACGTATCCGGCTGAAATTCCGCTTGGTTTCACGGGTCAAAGGTTGGCGTGCCCTCGCAACGTGACGAATGGTCAGTGACGCAAGAAGCCTTTTTGCCAAATTGAGTTCCTTGTGGTTACTACATTCGCTACAAGTGCCCTTTTTGAAAATGGGCACTATCATCTGCTCAACCCAAGTGTCTTGGACGATATCTTCCTCCCAGATACACG